TTTTTTTTTTTTTTTTTTTTGATACCCGGAACACTCAGGATATTGTGCTTTCAATAGTTTAAAGACTAAATTTCTACCTCTGCTTCAGACAGTTTGTACCTTTGTAGTGCTCCACTAATACCAAACTATTTTCTAGTTCACTCTCTGTTCAACTATTTTTTGCTTAACTTTAGTAAACTCAAAATAAGACAGTTTGAGTCACTTTAGAAATTTACTTCCTCTAACAGCAGAAATAACTTACATTCCTACCTGGATGGACCATTGACACTCCTGCCAAAGGGAACCAATTAAAAAAAAGTTAACATCTTTAGACTTCATTTTAAAAATAAGGGAGAAAACAAATTAGCTATGCAATTCTTTCATTTTCAGTGAAAAGCATTTCTTTTCTTTTTTGAGATAGGGTCTCTCAATGTAGCCCAGGCGGGCCTGGAACTCGAGGCAATCCTCCTGCCTCAGCCTTCCGAGTGCTGGGAATACAAGCATTGGCCACCATGCCCGGCTGTGAAAGGCATTTCGACAGCACCGGGGGATGAAGACCGGGGCTTGGAAATGCTGAGATTAAAAATAATTTTTTTAATAAAAATAACTTTCCACCAAAAATTTTGGCTTTAAAGAAATAAATTTATTCTAACAATCTTCCTCAGATCCAGAGGAAGATGTGGTTCTTGGAAAAAAAACTGACCATCTACAAATTTGGATGAGACTGAAACAATTCACTAGCCTCTCTGAGATGTAGTATTTCTTCAATTATGAAGGCTTTAAAAAATTCACTGTAGTATAAGCAGTATCTGTGACTCTGACACACATGGAAATAATTTTTCCATCAGTGGAAATTTCCTCACATTATATAGTTGTTGGGTACGTTTTGAAGTACTATTTGCGTTCAACACTACTCGAAAATTACGGCTGATGGTACATATACTATGTGTTCCTTAACTCTAATGAAAAAGCACGTTCTTGCACAATTTTTTTCTCTTTTACTGCCTTAACTACATTCTGAGGTCACTGGTCTCGCATACAATCTTCTGTAGTCGGGTGGCACGCAACTGTAATCGCAATTACTCGGGAGTCTAAGAAAGAAAGAACGCGAGTTCAAGGCCAACCTGGGCAACGTAGTGACACCGTAGCTTTCAAAAAGAAATTAAAAAAAAAAAATCCTACGTAATTTGCCGCATGAATTTAAAAACATTTTTCAGAGAAAGGGCTCGTAAGCTTCACCAGACTACCGAAGGGGTCTCCGGAGCAAAAAAGTTAGGAACCCCAGCTAAGGAGTTCAGCGTTCATTCACTTAAAGGTTCTCTTTCCTTCCAAGAAAGTCTGAGGGCAAAAATCTGCGCGTGGTGCCGGATCGAGGAAAGCCTAGGAAGCCGGAGCCCACCAGTCATAGTAACCTCTTTCAAAACCCAAGAAGTCAGCCCACCGGCGAAACCGCCACCCGAGGGGCCGGCCCGTCTCCGACCCATTTCTCGCGCCAGGCCTAAGTTCCCCAGGCCTCTTCCGGCGCCGGGGCTGACAGGAGAACTCACGCTTCTGCACCTCCCTCTTCCGGAGCAATCCCCTCATCTATCAGCTGCCGGACTTTTTGGGGTGTTCCTTCTGGAGAACGAACTACACCCCAATTCTTTTCAGCTCCCGCGGCAAACGCCTCTCCCTGACTGGGCGCCGCCATCTTGGTCCGTTGGTGAGTTGCGTCCCCGCGGGTTTGAAGCCTTCGGAACTTCCGTTCTGGGCGGTTAACATCCGCCTCTCTAGGCAACTTCCAGCCGCGGAGTGTAACTTCTGGGTAGACCGCTTCCTAGGCGGGAGAACCTTAGAACAAAGGTTGAAGAAGTAAACCTAGGTTAATCGTTCCCTTTATGAACTAGCATATTTAGGTTGATAAGGAATGTTTAGGGAGATGACTCTCCAAATTCAGCAGGAATGAGAGGCCTAATGTTGTCTTCAAGTAATTAACTCTTACTAGGCCCTTCTCCTAGATTACATGTTTTTACAAGTTAGGAAATGACAACCCTCGCCTAAGAACAATAATATAGAATTTTCTTTAGAAAGTGAGTCCAGGTGGATGTAGAAGTGAGAGGCACTGGACACTAGTGAGAGCTCCCTCCTTTGTCGAACTATTGAATGTATCCTACTATCCTCATATAGGCCTTATCAATAACAATAGCGATCAAAAGAGATGTAGGTGGTCCTTGGTGGAGTTCAACATCAAACAAGTATGTTTCCCTATAGCTTTGTTTTTCTTGTGATGCTGGGGATCAAACCCAGGGCCTCCCACTAGCTCTATCACTAAGCTATATTCCCAGACTCCTAGAGTTTTAAAATTGTAGGTGATCTTTCTGCTGTCTGCTGTGGGCTCTTGATTCCAACTGTGTTCCCTGTCCACCAGACCTGCAACCTATTGATCTAAGCATGTTTCTGCTGTTTCTAATTCTACCACCACCCATTTTCTGGCTCCTTAACCAGCTTAAACTCATTGCTAATGTTTATCATCATTCCTTGGCAACATTTGAATGTGGGTTGAAAATTAGTTAATAGAATTTTAAGGAATTACTGTTAATTTTGTTACATATGATAATGACATTTTGTTTGTTTTCTGACACAGGGTCTCCCTACGTAGTCCAAGCTGGCCTTGTACTCAGTGTGTGTGTAGCTCTGGCTGGCCTCGAATTCATGGTGATCCTTCTGCTTCAGTCTTGCATGCTGGGATTACAGGCCTGTGCCACCACGCCCAGCTTTTTGTTTTCGAGTCAGGGTCTTACTATGAAGTCCATACCAGTTTTGAACTTGCCATGTAGCCTAGGCTGGTTTTAAGCTTGTGATCCTCCTAAACCGGGCACAGTGGTGCACGCCTGTAATCCCAGCACTCAGGAGGCTGAAGCAGGAGGATTGTTGCAAGTTTGAGGCTAGCCTGGGCTACAAAGTGAGTTCATGACCAGCCTGAACTGCATAGTGAGACCCTGTCTCAAAAAGAAAAAAGAAAAGCTTGTGATACTCCTGCCTCAGTTTTCCAAGTGCTGAGGTTGTAGGTATGTGCCAGCACATGTGACTTGTGGTTATGGATTTTAAAAGTCTTTATTAAGATACATCTTGAGGTATTTATGAGGTGAACTGATGTGATGTCTGGGATTTGCTTTGAAATTCTTCTAAAAAAGAAAACGTGAAATGTGGAGGATTAGATGACAGAAGATTGCACAATGTTTTTAACTGTTGGGTTTAGGTGGTAGAATTATGGGGTACATTATATTATTCTCTCTACTGTTAAATATGTTTGACAATGTAAAAGCAAAACAAACTAAAAATGATACATCCTCTGAATATCCTCTCACTTTCCTTAAACCTCTCTTGTTTTATAAGCCACTTCCAAAAAATCTCAATCACAGTGGAATTCAACTCTCCACAATTCTGCCCCTGTACCTATAACAAAATATGGCTAAAGAAAAACACATGTCACTGGCGTGTGGTGCACGCCTGTAATCACAGCACTCAGGAGGCTGAGACAGAGGATCTCTGCGAGTTCGAGATCAGCCTGGACTACAAAGTGAGCTCATGGCCAGCCTAAACTGCTAGTGAGACCCTGTCTCAAAAAGACAAAAAAAAAAAAAAAAAAAAAAGAAAAACACATGTGGATTTGTCTGTCCTTATGTTATTGTTGTTGTTGTTGTTTTGTAGGGGAGGTCTTTTTGA